TGGAAACAATAAAGAACATATTTTTCAGTAATTATTTAGAAAATTGGGGGGGAGGGGTCTCACCGATTTCGATGATCTTTAAATATGTTGTAAAATTCAACATTTTGAAAAACTTATTCCTATGCATATATATTAGTGACTTTTCCTCAAAAAGTTAGGTACTAAACATTGAATTCTGTTTATACTTATGCATCTGTGACTCTGCATACGTGAGTCCACAATCGCCCCTTATCTCTTGTCTCTACAGATAACAGCATGGTGACCAACGACGAATAATGCATAAAGTGTCAAAAGAACCTAACACGAACTTAATCCATTAAATTAGTTACTAAGTACAATAGATAGGTTTAAGTAAGATTTGGGTTATGTTCTTTTATTCAAATAGACTAGTTAGTTGAGTTTCCAAGTGCACCCGTTATACGAGTTCATTATAGAAACCATAAACAATCGACTCAATGCGTGCACACATGCTGTCACAAATACGTAGCTATAAACAATATTCATTGCAGTAGTAGCAATAGCTTTTTGCATAAATTTTGAAAATTGAAGCCGAACGGCGGTTATGTACATAAGGAAAAGTTGTTCAAAATATTGATTTCTACAACATATTACAAAATCGTCGAAATTGGTGAGAGGCCCTCCTCCCCCTCCCCTTTTCTAAATGATTATAATATATAATTAATACTAGATAACACCAGACTGATAGCACACGTGATTACGTTTGCAGAATCGTAATTCAACGCTGGTAAATTCGATACGAATATCGAATATTGTGCTCGACATAAAAGTCCGAACAGATGAAACAATGATACCTTTCATTTTGAAAGACAGAAGATCCATATTGATATTTAATGGAAAAACGGATCAAGGACAGAGGAACGAAATAAAAACTTTAAATAACCTAATAAAACCCAACGATCACGCTAATCGTTTGGCATGTTAATTGATCTACTGCTGGTAGACGTCGAAGTAACTAACAAGAGTTGAAATGTGTTACACCAATTCATGGACTTGGAACAACCAAGTAAAATTAACGGAACTTCCCTATAAATAGGATATAACATTTTTAAATACCAGGTGCGTCTAGTTTGATTTAAAATATAAATGATGATCTTGGAATATGTATCAAGATACTCATCAAAATTCTTAACGATTCAGGAAGAGTGTATGAACACTCACTAGTTTATGTTCAGAACGAATGACCAAACTGAAGGTTATATTAAGAATTCTTTCAGTTGAAGCAAAAGTAAAAATAACATATTTAAGGTCCTCAATTGATGTCTCATTGTTCATCATAAAAGAAATAGATAAAAATGGAGATATTTACATGAGCCGGATGATAGCCGAGAATGAAATATTAACCCTTTGCATTCGACGATTTTTTCGCTACAGAAGAGTACAAATTCAAAAATTTTCTGCCATAAAACCGACGATATCCTCTAAAATATTAAATAAAAAATCATACAAAAATTAACACGTAGAATTATTTAATTTCAATATCTTGCACACTATTACATTATTTTAAATTTAATATGTTAATTAATATCGATCTTCAAAAGATCGATGACTGAAGATTGCCTTTCGAGTGCAAAGGGTTAAAATCCGATAAGTGCACTTTTTGTACAGCTATTTTATTCTCCATCAGTAATTTTCAATAAAAAAGTTTTAAAAGAAATCTTACGTGTATCATATCAACAGCTATTTAACCTGGAATATACCATTCCAACGATACCTTTCGTTCCTATGTATATCAATATTTTATTTCAATTTATTTTACCTGCATAGGTAATTGAAAGAGTAAAGTATATTTCACAGATGAACCCATGAAAGGGAGTTAAAGATATTTTTCTTAAGGAAGATCCATCAGACGAATTAGTCGTCCTTGATGACGCAAGCCGTTGAATGAAACGTGGATTAATCGCGTGAGAACGCTAGCAAGGACCTTCGCATCGTCGTAAGCGAACATCAGCTTCGTGGAAAAGAGGAATATCTTATTCTGTGAAAAAAGAAGGATATCATGAATAAGTATGAGCTTTTTCCAACATCTAATTTGAGTTTGAAATGTAAGAAATTAAGGATTCATATTCCACATTCAATCAAAATCAGCTGACTGCTCATTTTTCTTATAAATCTTCAACTTTGGACATCACAGAGCCTGTGGACTAGAGTAAGATAAATTATTTCCACAAATTAAGAGTCGAAGGCTTCTTCAAATATGGATATGCAAGAATTGCCATTGGGGCCAATATAGTCTTTAGAATGTATCAGAGACAAATCTGGCAAAAAAGAAGAAATTAAATAACAATAATAGTTAACCTTCTAACTTTTAGTTCAATTTGGTTTAACATCAGGGTTGAACTCAGCATGGTAGCTGAAAGATAAAGTGTCAGCAATATCAGCAAAGATATTGCAAATAGAAGCCTCGAGGAGCCTAGCTAAATAAGGTTATTCCTAGACAGTACTGACATTTATTTTGACTCGTATAGCATTGCAGCTGATGGCTACTTCGGTGAGTGACGTCATCGTTTCCGCAAACCTTGTTTTCCGAAGTAAAGGTTACATTGACATTCCGTACAGTCGTAAGATGAATAAAAGAGATTTGCGTATTTGTCCCACACTTAGCATTCGAAACGAATAATTTCAAATCTGGGAGAAAATTAAAAGAAACCTGTGAAATAATATTGTTTATCTTGTCCAATTTAATTGGAGATGTACAAATTGAAATAAAAATAACATTGTCTACTGTATGCTCACCAGGTTTCTGGTACAAAAACTCGAACGAATTAAGATAAGTAACGCCATCTAGGACACAAAGAAGATTTTATTCGCATCTCCCTTTAGTAATTGCGCAGGGCTTGGTTATGTAATAATAAATTCTGTAAACATCGTTTATCATGTGTCAGTGTCATGCAGTATCTAACTTTCTATTGTATGTGCAGTCATTCAGTTCCATCTCATTTTTCTGTAATTGTTAATACCATTACAATATAGAAAGAAGGAGTAAAATTAATTTTAAACATTTAAAAATTTTATTCCTAGTCTAAGCCTGACTCGAATGAAGCCTAAATCTAAGTATTATAGATCTAACCTAACTTAAACTTTAGTGTTTATTTTGCGAAATTCACAGATAGTGAAGTCTCTGGAAACGTTGGTAATATACGCAAAATTTCACTAACTCGAAGATAAGGGATTTTTAGTTTCTATTGTTGGACAAGTCGGCAACCAGACGAGAAAATGTAACAATACCCACAAACATTAACGTATAACACCGAACTGAAGTCGGAGTTCGCAAGCTGGAATTTTACCCTCGCACTGCTCTCTCGGAAAGCTCTCGCAACCGATCAACTAAATTCTTCTAACAACTTTAATCCGTATTAACAGCATGGTAAATACATAGAGTTTATTGTATTTATTTCGTGTATACTTGTAATTAACGCATAAAAATGATTCCAGATTGGTATAAGTGTTTCCATCTGATCTGCAAATCGGTTGATAAAACAGATTTATATTCCAGTAATCGTTCATCGGTAAACAAGCTACAAACTACAAGTAAACCACAGAAAAGTTTGATTTATACTACAGCTCACCAAAAAGTTGATTTTAAAGCTATATGCATTACTGTTAAAACAGCCAGCATGTATAATACTATTTTTTTTAATTTAAATTTGTGAAAATCATTATTTTTTAAGAAAAATGTAAGAAAAAGAAGATTAACGAAGTTTGAATATTTTCAACATACAACTAAATCTGATATTCTTCCTTGAATTAAGCAGCTTTCAACCAGGTATAGTAATACAGTATTCTATAGAACTAAAAATTCATGATCGTTCCATAGTTTGTGAATTAGATATACCGTGAACAAAATTCACGGAATTGTACGAGGTATGGTAACTTACAATTACAAAGAAGAATATCCTTTGTTACCATTTTGAAACATGCAAATATATATATTTGATTGATAATTAACATAGTCCAAATATAAGCTATTGGCGTAGGGGACGCCATTGTTACTACAGACTAACCCGTTATAAATGTCTGATTTGTAAAAAATTTTACAATCCTAATAAAAAATTTCTGTATTTGCATATATGAGAACTCATTCTTTCTTAAAAATCACAACAATACTTGAAAATTAATATTAGATTTAATTCATTTTAAAAATAATATTAAATAAATAAATTGATAATAATAGTAAGATAAAGGTTTCATCTTTACCGATGATAAATAATGAGTTTTTATGATAGATTCAAGAATAATTACGTGTCTTTAAATTATTCAGCAAGTTATATTTTCTACAAGACATAATCAACATACCTTTGTGCTGACGTATTAATTCAGATTATTTTTCATCTTTTTGGAAATTTTCTGTCTAGCACGTGCTTTTATTGTCAATATTTTCCTGTTTAATCACAATGGAATGCAACTGCAATCAAAAAGAATTAAATGCTTCTCTAGGTATACTTCGTAATAAGTTATAAACCAATAAAATATTTCGTAGAAAAGTATTTTTGATACAATTTATGAAGCTTTTTATATAAATATTTTAATGTATAAAATAATTAATTGCATAATAAATTTGAATAAACCGCTACTCAGTGGATAATTATTATTTCTACAATACCATTCGATGATATAATAGTCTTGCCAACTATATAACTTTACTAATTTAATATACTCATATATGCGTTACACTTTTAAAATGAAATTATAAATTAAGATTCCAATAAATTTATTTTAGATAATATAAAAAAAAAAGAATGATTAGAAAAAGTTTACTTTTCAATATTTCAACTACAAACATGTGATTATGACTCTGATGCATCATGAAGGTATATGCCACAGGTTAAGAATATGACATCATATAATGTGTTATTAAATTCATACCTAAATTTCCAAATCTAATAATGAATTGGACTTGTGCATAAAAATAGTCAACTATAGATCATAAAACTATTAATACGATCAATTTTAATAATCCATCTGACGATAAATATATCGATCGACAGTTTAAACCGTGTGTAAGGACCTTTAGATCAACGCCATTTTTAGGAGGTGTAGGTTGTTGTGTGGTGGAGGAAAGGTTGGGCCACGTAGTTACTTCATGGGAGAAGATTTAAATTTTGTGTCTACGTCATTAGGTTCCAAATTGTTCAATACTGTAAATATACGTTATACAGAGAAAAATGGTAAGTATTTCAGAAGTAAAGATAACGTAATCTAATAATTTTGTCACTTGCTCTTGTATACCTGTTTGTGCACCATTATAGCGGTAGTGGCGAAGAATTGCAGCAGTAATAACTGTATTCTACAATAAATAATTTTTACCTTATATTTATCGCATAAAAACACTGGATTTAAACAGTGTTCAACAATAAATTGTTCCATTTTTTGTTTGTTTCTCTTTTTTTATTTTTGACAGCTAACCATTTATGTAAATATGTATTGTAAATAATGAAAAAACCACGTGAAAAATACAATAGACATGGCTTGATATTATTATGATATATATCTTTCATATAATATTCTCAGTATAAAAATTTTGTCACATAAAACATATAATATAAATCTCTCAAATTGCATCATTATTTAAATAACTGACTGTTCTAACTTTTCTATTATTTTTTTATATTATGTAATGTATACTATATTTTAAATCATTCTGTCCTTGTAGCCACTAAGGTTAGATATCAAACGGAAACTAACTGCTCGATCAGACAGGGTGAAGTGTGTAGATCTTCATCCAACTGAATCATGGATGCTTTGTTCCTTGTATCAGGGAAATGTTAATATTTGGAATCATGAAAGTCAAATGTTGGTTAAAACATTTGAAGTATGTGATTTACCAGTTCGTACAGCCAAATTTGTACCACGTAAAAATTGGGTTGTCACTGGATCAGATGATATGCAAGTTAGAGTATTTAATTATAATACTTTGGAACGTGTGCATTCCTTTGAAGCACATAGTGACTATGTCAGATGCATTGCAGTGCATCCAACACAACCATTTATATTAACAAGTAGTGGTATGTATTAATTTAGCTATTATTTTTTAATAATGTGTTTATTTTCTTATTATTTTTATTTGCTTATTGCTTGATTATGTTTTACATTTACTTCTAGATGATATGTTAATTAAATTATGGAATTGGGAGAAAGCTTGGATAGCACAACAAGTATTTGAGGGACATACACACTATGTAATGCAAGTTGTATTCAATCCAAAAGATAATAACACATTCGCTAGTGCCTCATTAGATAGAACAGTGAAAGTATGGCAACTTGGATCTTCCACTGCTAATTTCACATTAGATGGTCATGAGAAAGGTGTAAATTGTGTTGATTACTATCATGGTGGAGATAAACCATATTTGATATCAGGTGCAGATGATAAATATGTAAAAATCTGGGATTATCAAAATAAAACGTGTGTACAGACATTGGAGGGACACACGCAGAATATTTGCGCTGTATGTTTTCACCCAGAATTACCCATCATCCTTACTGGCTCCGAAGATGGAACAGTTCGAATATGGCATGCTGGGACATATAGACTGGAATCTTCCCTTAATTATGGTTTCGAAAGAGTATGGACAATCTCTTGTTTGCGGGGTTCTAACAATGTTGCGATTGGTTATGATGAGGGTAGTGTTATATTAAAAGTTGGTAGAGAGGAACCTGCTGTTTCTATGGATTCACTGGGTGGCAAAATTGTTTGGGCAAAGCACAGCGACATACAGCAAGTAAACTTAAAAGCTTTAGGCGAGGAAACACAAGATGGAGAGAGACTTCCATTGGCAGTTAAAGACATGGGTGCCTGTGAAATTTATCCACAGACTATTCAGCATAATCCAAATGGAAGATTCTTAGTAGTTTGTGGAGATGGGGAGTACATTATTTACACATCTATGGCTCTAAGAAATAAAGCTTTTGGTCAAGCAGCAGAATTCATCTGGGCAGCTGATTCCAGTCAGTACGCTGTTAGAGAAAGTAATACTACAGTAAAAGTTTTCAAGAATTTTAAGGAAAAGAAGAGTTTTAAGCCTGATTTTGGTGCAGATGGTACACATAATTATTCTTTCTTATATCTTCGTATTTCGTTAATTTACAATTTTTTTTGACTGTTTAATTGTTTTCGATTATACAGGTATTTTTGGTGGATTTTTATTGGGCGTTTCTTCTGGATCCGGACTATCATTCTTTGACTGGGACACTCTAAAATTAGTTCGTCGTATAGATATTCAACCAACACACGTTTATTGGGCTGAAAATGCCTCTCTGGTAGCATTAGCCACCTCTGATCAATACTTCATTTTAAAATATTGCGCCGATGTTGTTGCAAATGCTCCAGAAAATTCAGAAGATATCGAAGATGCTTTCGAGGTTTTTGTCATTTAAGTTATTAAACCTAACCCAAACCATATAATAGAAAAACTAACATTCTAAAATTTTTTAATATAATACAGATGATAGCTGAAATGAGTGAAGTTGTCAAAACTGGTCTTTGGGTCGGTGACTGTTTCATCTACACAAATAGCGTAAATCGAGTGAACTACTTCGTCGGTGGGGAAGTTGTAACTGTATCACACTTGGATAGACCAATGTATCTTCTTGGATATGTCCCGAGGGATAACAGATTGTATTTATGCGACAAGGAGCTATCAGTTATCTCGTATTCATTATTGTTATCCGTATTGGAATATCAGACTGCCGTTATGCGAAAAGATTTTGAAACAGCGGATAGAGTTCTTCCCACAGTGCCCAAGGAACATCGAACGCGAGTGGCACATTTCTTGGAGAAACAAGTTTGTATTCTTAAAGAAATTTATTTTTTAGAATTTTTTGTAACAGAATTAATATATTTTAGGGTTTCAAAGAACAAGCGTTAGCGGTGTCTACAGATCCGGAACACAGGTTTGAATTAGCTTTAGCGTTAGGAGATCTTATAACAGCACATTCACTTGCCAAGGAAGCGAATAGCCAGCAAAAATGGCGGCAGTTAGCGTCTCTTGCTACACAAAAAGGAAAACTGTGCCTAGCACAAGAATGTTTGCATCAAGCGCAAGATTTCGGAGGACTCTTGTTACTCGCTACCAGCACAGGAAATGCAAGTATGATTGAGAAACTTGGCATGGATGCTGATGATACGGGCAAGAACAACATTTCGTTCTTATCATATTTCATTCTTGGAGACCTCGACAAGTGCGTGGATATTCTCATAAAAACGAATAGGATTCCAGAGGCTGCATTCTTTGCAAGAACGTATGCTCCTAGTAAAATTTCATCAATTGTAAAATTATGGAAGGAAAAGCTGTCTACCGTGAGTAAAAAAGCCGGACAAAGCTTAGCCGACCCTGAACAATATGAAAATCTATTCCCTGGATATAGAGAATCTCTGAAAGTTGAACAGTTCCTCGTGGAAGAGAGCAAGAAGAAAATTCCGGCATCTGCATTCCCGACGGTCCAAGTAAGAAGAGATATATATTTAGTCATAATTTATATTACATATACATACACTACGCATATGCACATATGTTTTAAACATATTAAATTTTATATTGGTGATTTCTTTTCTTCCTTCCTCTTTTTCTTCTTTTTTTTTTTTATTTGCTATAAATATATGAAACGTTTAATTTTTTCAAGTTCGAAGTTCGACATATCATAAAACACAAAATACATACAGTTAGTGCAATTTTAATTATGTAGTGAAAATTTTTTCAATTTCATGTGTTCACGATAGCCCAATATTGATCGGAAACCATTCGAGGAAATACTAGCTGCTGAGCAGGCAAATCGATTTACCTATAAACCCGGTGCAAATATTACTAATGACACAGAAGTACCAGCAACCGAGGTTATAACGAATAGGTTACAAGATCTTGATATTGGTAAGATAATTCCATCATCTACAGGAACATTGAATGTGCCTGAAAAAATCACGAAGACCGTCAGCAACTCCAGGCCCCTAACTATTGATGAAGATGATCTGGATCTCGATATCGAAATTGATGATACTATAGACACTACTGTAAGTTCATTGTGTTACTACCATTATGTGTTTTTCCTATTTCTTTTTCTTTTCTTCATGCAACATTTTTTACCTTGTGCATGCTGTCCGTACATAAGATCTTCTAACACACAAAGTAAGTGTACATACATAAAAGTGCATTTACTTTCTCTTTTACTTTCCATCAATGTAATTATACCGTGGATTAGAGTTCTATCAACCGTGATATTAAAATTATAACGGACAATCGATACACGAATCGAGGTTAAACGGAAGAAAAATAAGGGGTAGAAGGAACAAAAGGGGGTAACTAGACGATGCCTTAATACCCTTAAATACAGGCATGTAATTCTAGAAGGGTATTGTATTACTAAACAGTCTGAAACTAAGCGTGGAACAAAACACGCGCATCTACAGCGTGTGTATGCGTGACGATATATCGATCTTGACCGATGTATGTGAACACGTTCCACCTATCGAGTAGAGCGAACACTGCGGTAAATAGAGCAAAAGAAAAGTGAAACACATGCGGAAATAAAAAGAAAAAAGAAATGATGGAAGGTATGTGAAAGTGCAGGATTCCGAAACTTTTGTTTCGAGATAAAAATCGATAGCCGTATTTTAAGAAATCATATTTTCTTTCTTTGTATGTTTTTTTTTTTATAAACATCAAGTATTAAGATTCTTGAGTCATCAGCAAATGTGAGGGAGTTGTGGGGATCATAAAGTTTGTTGAACTTTGCGCCAGTCGCGGTTCATTCTCTTTACAACCTTATTGCCATAACATTCAAGCCTCTTTGTATACCTTTTCTTTCGTTTATATTGTTTTATCACGCTTTCCTCTTTCAGATAGCAAATAATTCTCTCACAGAATTACCACATATCCTTATCATATTGTACTCATTGTTTATTGAGTATTAACAATAATAAAATAAAATTTTTATCAATCGTAAATCATTTCTTTTTCTAGACATAATTACCATTAAATGTTTATCATCTAAATTATCGTTTGAGTACTCAGTTAATAAAAAAAAAATAACGATTTGATATGGCAACTATAAAGAATTCGTTTTTTGTTTCAGGGTGTTAGTCTTGATGACGACCTCCTCGAGGAAGATTAGCCCGTCGATTGGAAGCTAAGTAGCGTGCACATCGCACGTGCAATTTTCATTCTTCTGTCAATCATTCCCCACGAGCCGACCAGAATCGTTTAGAGTCAAGTATTAAAAAAAAGGAAATCGTCGAAGAACATTTTGGTAATTATATAAATTAGAATATATTTCATCGATTTCAATAATTTTGTATGTTTTAAAAATCAACGTTTCTAACAACTTTCCTTAATACAGGTTACCTTTGCTTGGCTTTTATTTCCGAGATATTCATACAAAATTTTTGCTACTATAGGATTGAAGTTTGTCTACACTTATACATCCGTGACAGCGTATGAGTAAGCTTAGAATCACTATTTATTTACTCTTCTTATAAACACATCATGGCAATCATTATGTATCAAAGATGAACTTGTTAAAAAGATATCTTTTCGTGGATTTTTAAACGCTCATTTATATCACCCCACGCGATACGCTTTGTCACGTTATGATTTACATAACCTAATCGTACCTAAAATTACTTTTAAACTTTACAAATTCGTCTTCTGTTCGTGTCTGCATAAACAACAGATAAGTGGTGACCACATACTAACGCACACACTGCCACGAAAGTATATGTATGCCTAGGCAGAATTCAATGCTATAGTAGTAAAAGTTTCTTGGGAATATTTCGAAGATGAAGGGTGAACGAGAGTAACATGTACTAAGAAAAGTTCTTCGAACTGTTGATTTCTACAATGTATTAAAAAGTCATCAAAATCGGTGAAGTATATTCTAATCTAAAAATTATCAACATTTTTGTGCGCGAGTGTTTTTATCATGCACAATATTCAGCCTGTGCACGCAGACTTTACCCATGTACCGAGAATTATATATATTGTAATATAACAAAACGTTCGCATAAGTTTCCATCTGTTTCTTTTCGATCGTTACCTTACCCTAACATACCTTTTTTTTATCGATGCTTGAGAACTTAGAAAATATATAAATACATTGTTAATATAACAAAATAGTTCAATAAAACTTCATCTTTATTTCATTTTATACATAAATATCTTTATAGCTCCTTTACATTGTGAGCAATAAAAAATAAAGAAGGTGTTTATAATTTGAGAACTAGTTCACATTAAATTTCGAATTTATTCTCAATGTCCTAATGGAAGAGTATATCTCCTTTGAATGACGTCACCATTATCCACAACTTTTTTTACGCTGAGTAAGCTTTCTAATAAAGGATCCTAAAATAATCCAAACACCTAGTAAGTCAGAAACACGTTAACTCTCCCTGAAACCCGAATAGTCGACAATTTTCATGCACACGTACGTGTCGTGAGCGACTGTAGAAAGAGAAGGAGTTACATTTTGCATGACTGGTACGTGCTTCGAGGTTTCCCAGCACAGCATGCGCTCGACGAAGACTAACTATTGTATTCCATCTCTATTTTCATCTTATATTGGTATACTTGCGTGGCGCTTAAATCTTACTAATTTGTTTGTAAAAAAATACTAAATGGAAGTTATTATACTGCGTAAGGATTAACAAAAACATTAAAATCTCGAAAAAAAGTAATGGTACATTTTCTCTGGAAAGAGATTCTACTGCTGTAAGATCTTACATCATTTTTAAGAGAAGGTTAGAAACGTTTGTAACAATAATACGAAACCGATTTTTTTGCATTTCTCTTTTATTTTCATTAATTGTAAACCAAAATAGACATAGTAGATAACATGGCTAAAAATTGTAACTACTGTATTCTCTTTTTATTAAAAATTTTATATTTATTTCCGAGTCTTTTTTTGCATTTTTGTTATTTTTATGGTTCAGAACAGATGAGAGACCGCACGTCTGGATAACAAGAGACGGCCACGAGGACGGATTAATCGCGTGTAAATTTACGCGACACCAGGAGAACCCGGTGCAACAGGCTGAAAAACGATGGAGGAGTAGGTGGAGACAGAGAAAGACGAGGGAATGGGGCGGAAAGATAGCCGCGCGCGTCGTTTCGAAAATAGAATCGGCTACGTTGACACTCTGCTACAAATTGTCCGCGTCGTTATGCTCTTTGTAAAAGCCAAGCGCTCCTCTCTCTCTGGGTGCTCGTCGCTGGAATACCTTGCGATTTTTACGTTCCGATCTCTGTCCTTTGACTAATCGATCATTGAAAATTAGAAACATGTATAAATGAAGTCTGAAAAGAATTATTCGAGAATAATTAAGTTATAGGTTAACAAATTAATATTGACATTATTATAACAATATATTCTAACAGAAAATTAAAATAGGTTATAAATTAATATCTTTAAAGAGTTTGTAAAGAGTTAGCTTTTACATTAATAATTTGATTAACGAAAAAATTAAGATAATTGTACATTTCTTCCTTCTGTGTTCTAAATGGGAAGAGGTATATCGATTCGACTAGTCCAAGTGGTAGAATATCTAGAATATAATTAACTGATTTTAGGTGACGCCTCGAGGAGTAAATGGACCGTGTAACACCGGCCCTCCTCTCCAAGCAGTGTCGCCGAGAATTTATTACTGTTCGTTCCGCGCGAGGATTACTAGAACTCGGTCGAACGATATCTGACACACTCTCCCTCGTTTCGTCCAGTTAAATCCACTCTAACGACCGCGTAAACGAGCCGGGTAATTCTTAAGGCGGAGCCAAATATAAACCAGCAAAAATCATTCCAATAAGATTCCATGTTTTCTTTCTTTGCACATCCTTCATAGAGTTAGAACTTCAAAAAAGTAGGAATATGCAATTCAATGTCAACATTGCTTCGAATTTCTCGTCATACTCCTTTCAATGGGAACATAACCTAAATCTGATTTTGGTAAGTTAATAAAACAAAACAAAAATTTCATATATTTATTAATTATTTATAATTAAACGAATCAATTAATATATTTATACACCCATTCACATGCAGACTTTTTGTTCTCCCAGTGTTCTATCCTTCTTGATTTTCTGTAACATGATGACAATTACTTGGTTATCATTGACTGGTTACATTCATTATTACTATAAAATGATGAGGCTAATAATCTTGCTAGTCAATGACACTGAGGATCGAACAATTTAAGTGGCATCAGGAGCCGACAAGCGGTTCTGAGTCGCACGTGCATGAAAGAGGCCGTGAAGCTGCTAATAGTCGCCTAAATGGTCGACACGCTTGCTCTGGCTGTCGCTATATGTCACCTCCGCCCTCTATTTACACGCCACGGACGATGCACGTGCGTGTGAATCTCGACGCGACGGAAACGAAGGAATTCCCGGCTGTCTTCGACTGCCTGCGACGTTATCCTCATTCAAACGCCTTAAAAATGCAACTGGTTGAACTTTCTAAATAAAATTGAATCTGTCCGATTTTAGTAACTTCTTCAGTTAACACAAGCTGCTGGTGAGTATTTTAATGTTAACAAATAATCTTGTAAAATCAAGAAAATTATTGTCTTGACATTGGCAACCTACTAGGAGTGATTCGATAAGGAACAATAATTACATGGTGGTCGCGTCTCGTTGTAAAGTACCGCGGCCACATCTCTGTAATCTGAGCCCACAGAGAAACACCAGGAATGATTTACCTGACTCTCAGTGGATTCGTTCCACGGAAAGGGGAACCACCGATGATTAACGCCAGTGTTTGCTTATAGAGACTGTTTGCGTGAACCGAACAGTAGCCATCTTTTATGTTTCGAGTTTCTCGAAAGATTTAGCTATTGTATACCTTTTTCCATCCTGGACAGATGGATAGTTTATTATTTTATTTTTTTAGAGATACCATGTTTCTTGCAGTGGCTATAGAAACATAGGTAGAAAGGTTAAGTGCCATCCTATGGTAAGTGAAGACTCCCTTCCTTTAGTCTCACCTGTTTCAGTCAACCAATAGGAATTTAGGTTTCCCTATCTAGCTTCGTAGTGGTTCTTCTTGAAGGGAGAGACAGGTGTTTCTACCTGTCTCTGGCAACCAATGGGAGAGACAGGATAACACAGACCCTCTCCACAGCAGAGTTTACACTGCCATACATGGTGGAACACGTTTCCTTTTCTACAACACAAAAATAAAAAGGATATTGGATAAAAGTCCTGAAAATTATGTTATAAAAGAAAATTCAAGGAGCTCATGGAAGGTTTAATATTTCAGTTTAATTATTACAATAATCAAATTCTAATTCCTTATTCACTTCATTTTGTCTTGTTTAAAATAATATAAAAGAAATTATGCCACTAATAGTTCAGGTATTATTATAACACTTATACAAATTATAATTTAAGACAATTTATTCCAAGCAATGAAAAAAGTGTAAAGTAACGAGGGTAAAGGTTATAATACAAGATGTTCAAAAAGAAATCAAATTTATAAGGACACAAGAAGCAACCCCAAATTACACTTATGTAAGTAGGAAGATATTTGTCCATTCCATTCATACCAAGCGTGCTCTTTTCCATCAGGCAGGCAAGATTTATTTTGAGGCGGACGTGGAGAAGGGACCGTACGATCGATTTCCAGACGAAAAATAAAGTGCACGTGCTATTCCTGCGCTGATGCACGTACGGTGTTGACTGGCTGTGCACGGCTAGCCTCTCTTTTACGGAGAATATTAAAGCTCGCCTGTGCGCACCGTGTTTGTAAAACATCCTCGTTCACGCAAACATCACCATTGCTGGCCATTGGCTACTTTTCTCTCTTCCACTCTTTTTCTCATTTTGCCAGGGATATTCTGAGCCCAGGGGCTGGAATTGAATCACAGGAAGCAACCAAACTTTTGTTCTAAATATTGAATAAAAATAACCCAACCATTTTTACAAAAATAAATTAATGAATTAAAGGACATAATAATCATACAAAATTTGAGAATTGTAAACATGTTTTTATAATTAACTATGGAAAAGTCCTTTATCTATAGAGTAAAAGTCTGTTGAATAAGAATTATATTAAATTTAGACTAAAGTATAATGGAAGGTAAATAATCCTCATTTAACAATTCTAGACGATAAATAATAGATTTATTTTCGACTTTCCATCTAATTACAGGAGCTGCCACGTGTGTCCATCTTGGAATAGTTCATAATTAGTCGACCAAACTACTTAGGCTTTAAATATGTACATCGATGAATAATCTTCTAGAGAAACTGTTTTTTTTTCTTTTTACTATTGCGTTATGCAACCTACATGATACACATTTATCTTCTGCTTCTACATAAACCTACTTATTTATATATATAAAAGAAAATAATATGAACTTATCGATGTACTGGTTTCTCACCGATTTTGATGATTTTCAAATATGTTGTAAACGATAACACTTTAAGCAAGTTTTCCTTATATATATAACCGGTAGTCAATTACACTGAATTGTATGCGATTACATTAAATTCTGCCTATATATGTGTATTTGCAAAATTCAACGAAATAGTATAAAAAAGATTACCTAATGGTTCAGAAACAATTTTGAAGTACTAATTACGTCCACAGAAAAAATTGCTCAAAATGAGACCCTCAGCAACATATTCCAAGCTTATTACAATTCGTACATCGGTAAGTTCACCAAAAGCATCTTTGAGTGCTTTCCTATCTCACGAATGCTCCTTAAACTACGGGTTAATTGTTAACTCCAAATCTGTTCCTCGCAGATTCGTTTCTTTTCTTTAGAAAACCAATTCATGAAGTATGAACTGATCTCTTATCTCGCTTAAATATCGAATACTGTGTAGCAGTCGAAAACACACGAGGACAAGGGTATAGTGTTTATCGTTTTAAGTGGAAGAGACTTTTCACGCTCTACTGGTCTAGAATTATCACTGTAGAAAACCAGCTCAATTTCTCTCCAGTGGCTCCATAGGTCCCAAAAAATTTCCTCGTAAAAGGAAACACTGCAATAATCCACTTTCCTCGCTTGCCACCATGTCCAAACAAAGATCAATCTAGTTAACCTCGATTAAACGACGCAGAATGATCTTTCAGGACTTGGTGTGATTTTCTCGGCTTGTGACAATAGTGTAAATGACAAATTAATTCACATAAAGCACTTAGATCGCGATTGAAACTCCATAGGCGCAAATCCCGTTGCAGAAACTCCTGTTGGAGTAGTAGATCCCATCATTCCTGTAGGAACACCCACTCCCCCCACGCTAGTGCTAGATACTGCCACGGTTCCCGGTTCCTCCTTCACATTTACCACTAAAACGAAAAGAGAAAAAGATAATTGGATGTATTCCTTTTCTTTGGATGAACAGGGGAAGTACTAAAAGAGATAATTTCATAATCCTGTTTTTGTATCACATAACATGATTGATACATTTAAATATAAATATATTAAAATTTATTGGAGATAGTTACTTTCAGGCCAATAGCACCTTGCAGGCACAGTTTCTTGAGTCATAGCGGCATCATGCCTTCTAGCGAAACTGCTGCCAAAGGAACCACTTCCCATTGAACCCGGGGAACTTGTGGTTCCACCTGGAACATCCAAATAATTGCCTTGAAACGCTTTGCCTGGTCGTCGAGAATTTGATCAAATTAAATATAACAAATCTGCTAATTAATATAGAGACTCACCTAACGAGGTGCCTAATTGACTATAACCGTTCATGGTTGGAATCTGCATAGATTGCATTGGTTGCAACTGTGGCTGAAGCTGTAAGAAAATTGCAAACTTTTATCGATTATCTTTTACCTATTGGTAGCAAAATAGTAATTAGGAACACTTACTGTTTGACAGTGGCTATACGATAGCTGAGATTGTTGAAGACTCCAAGCACTGGAATTGTAGATAAATAGATGTTATTTGAGATTTAATGGTGGATTTTAGAATGAAGAATCTTCCGGATGATTATTGGTACCTGGTGTCATATCTGGTGTAGGTAGACGGAGCATAGGACGGCGGTGAGTGGCCAAACAAGTTCCTGGGACCAAGATGGACATGTGTAGGAGAGAAAGGATCGCCAAATAGCGGTTTATGATACGGTGCATTCCTATATGGTCGCTTCATGCGTCTACGCCTTCTGTAGTTACCATTTTCAAACATGTCCGCGTATTGAGGATCTAAAAATGGACACGGATTCAAACAACCAACCGTTACTACACTACGTTCAAAACGAAAACCTTCACTAACCAACAGTCCAGAAATTTCCCTTTCTTTCTCCACCACCATCACGTGGTACCTTCACGAAACACTCGTTCAATGACAAATTATGCCTAATCGAGTTCTGCCAGCCTTTCTTATTTTTTTGGAAGTAGGGAAACCTGGCAGTGATGTAGGCGTATATTTCACTCAAGGTCGCCCTTTTTTGAGTACTGTGCTGAATGGCCATGGCAATTAGAGCAACGTAGCTAAATGGAGGCTTCTTGCTAGCCGAGTCGTTGTTGCTACCGTTTCCATTTCCGGTTCCAGTCGCAGAAGAGGACCCATCTGCCACTGTGGTAGGCGTAGAGGGTGCTGACGGTGTCGATGGATTACTGTTAGTGGTACTGTGAAGACCTCCAGTTGGAGATGACCCTTTTTCATCAAGGTGATGATGAGTGGAACCTGTGGAGTGCATGGACACTGCGGAATTCGGACTGTGCAGACTATGATGCGAGTGATGATGAGTTAGAGAGGCATGGTGTGACGTCAAGCCTCTGGCGAGACTCACGGAGTCCAGTTCTTTCGACGCGACACCGATGCAACCATTTTGCATCTCTGACACAAAGCTGCTCACTGAAAGTAGAGGTAACATGATTTAGATATCGTAATATTGCGGACGACATTAAGGATGACTTGTATCACTGATTTATATGATTGAAGAATTCTAAGCAGACCTGTGAAGAGCCAAAACCCTGCTTCACGGAGGAAATGCTAGAATTATTCGTAGTAGTTCATAAAAAGTCAGAGGAAGAAGTTTTCAAGGTTAGGTTATCGAAGAAGGTGAAAGAAAAGGTTAGATGATTTTAATTCGAGACAACGCCTCGAGAAATCGACCTCCAAGAAATTGGACAATGGAACAGACTCGATCGATATACATACTGGTAAGACTTCCCAGAAATCTTTGCCGGGGTAAAACAATTGGATCTTTGAAAGGAATTCACCCGGCGATACTTGAGCCCTGATGATAAGCTGTTTGAAGAAATAATCGTCTAAAGTGCATTGAGTATCTTTGAAATTACATCTTCTTTTTCATTGTAAAAACAAATTCATAATTACTGCATTGACAAAAATAACAGTAAATATCACATAGAGTTTGTTATTGTAAATCAAGTAATACAGCTTTTAATTCATAATTTCAGTTCTGTTCGTGAAAATAGTGGACGTACCGTGCAGTTGACTGTTACAAACCTGAGAGGTGGAAGAAAATCAGCGGGAAACACGGAGACATGAGTCAGAAAAGGAGTGCGTACGTGCATGGCGTCGAATATTCACCGGTGCCCTGCGGCACATGTAACTGGAACCGTAACTAGACACCGATAAGTTAAGCACGCCGCACTTGCACAACAGAGACAGCGAGAGAGAGAGAGAAAGAGAGAAACGAGCAACAGAAGAACTCGGAACAAAAGGAAGAATAATGGAATATGAATTTTCACAAATTTAGTTGTATCAATTTCAAGAATAGAAGACCCAAGAACCCAATATTTGAAACTGAGTTACAAAATGGTAGAGCGTTCAACTCACTCTGGTCCACTGTACCCTACAGTCAATGTTCGATTACATTGTTATCAACCAGAGCCACTAGAAACGGGAACATCTGTTCCCAGGGTACGCGAATCCGAGCAAACATGATATTCCACTAACGCAGAGCTTCAGGGTATATGATTTTCAGTGCACAGAAGCTTCTTTACTCAGGACACAATGATGTTTTCACAGCAGCAACGTGCTATCATATTTTCTACTGGATGGTACCATTAACATGATCAAATACTTCGGTCACTGTGATAATTGAACATATATTTGTTAAAAGAACAAATTGGGAAAAACTAAGATTGAAGAAATGAAATTAAGGAAAACGTGATTAATGAGAAAGCTATTCGTATATGCTTCGTTATCATCTTCAGGGCTTCAGATTAGACATCATCTTTAACAGATCACGTGTCCGCGGTTTGACAAGCGATATCGACTTATGAGGGAACACTGAACATATCTATACAGGCTCGTGGGCTCTTGTGTGTGGATCCAAGGTGCACAAGCGAGCGAAGAGATCGCGATAACGTTGAACCGTTTGCTAACACACCTGACTGCAATTGGAGACCCCCTGCTATGTGACACCTACGAGACCACATCTGCTCTCGTCACGGGATCCCTTGTTTCAAATCGTATGTGACAGACAATTGTCTAGTGAAACACACTGAAGACAGAAAAGAAGTTGATGAATAATTTCCTAACCTATATCGAAAGAACACCGATGGTGTGTATAAGTAGATCACCATGGAAAGTAGACGTTTTGCAATGGGGAATGCAGAAATGTGCAGCGTTTGACTGTTGTGAAAACCTGTGACGTAATTAAGCTTGCGAAAATTATCGTCCTTCATCGAGGTATATTTGTAACAATGATTTAACGACGTCTGCAGATTTTTAAAATGAGTTCATGAATTCTTCGAAAGTTAGTGGTTAATTAGGTTATGAATCTGTTTCATTATGTCACCCTGTAATATTGATCATAAATGAACAGAGAAGGAGTTGAGCCATTACTGTTTCTCTCTAAAGAAAAGAACGAAGAATGTGAGAGGAAGAAAGAGAAGATGGGAGTCAATTAAGCCAAAGCAAAATCGATCCTCGAGACGAAGGTCATTGTCTTCGTGGTCGTTGCGCTGAAAATCATGGCATTCGCATTCCTGAAATGCTGCGGGTTCCGCGAGGAATCGACGCCGATAAGCGAAATATAATACGTTGTGACATCACGCTGCGAATCGCACGCCTTTGTCCTCGTCGTTGATGGTGCTCCTTTTTCTTTTCCCTTTGACTGGGTCGTCCGACTCCTTAGTTTAAAAAACTCTCTATTATATCTCGAATCAACCAAATACTTAACTTTCCTTTTATAGAAGCACGTTATGCTGGCTTTCAGTAGAAAAAAGAAGTGCGTATCTACTTCTTTCCTAAACGAAATTCTTTGCTAATTAATTGGCTAATCATAGTACTAGTAATATGACCATTAGAGTAAAGTCATACTCTACTAATATCAGGTATCATGGCGATTATAACGAGCTAAGGTAAGCATTAAAGGGCGTCAGGGCACGTGTCCGATGACCCATTCCTGCCCAGCTAATAGGGGGATCCCATTGGGGTAGCCACTCCCACCCATGGAAGAGCACGTGCCTCCCCATGGTGATACCATCAGCCTTAAAATGTGTTTGATATTCTTACAATATAACATGAAATATCAAGTTGCAAATAAACCAGGTAATTTTACAATTTAAAAAAAAACTGTACAATAATCTAAGCTAAAATAATGTAATATCTACTCTACCTAAAACTATTCGTCATAAGATGTTCAAGATAAAGTTATTGGTCGAATTGATTTGAAACTGTATGTACAAGTGCAATTATATCGTTAAGTCGAAAATAAGATAGATTTCTATATCAGAAGGAGAAATAACTGCAAGGAAGGTATGAAGACAACGAGGGAGCTGGAATCAGGGAGCAGGGGGTCATCTGCCCAACGATAGCTCATCTTATGATAGCTTCACATGAGCCAATCATCGTCGCGAACATCTTCATTGGCGCCTGCCTTCTCACTGACATCCACTAGCACCGGAAGTGTGGATGAAGTTATCTTTCCCCAATATTATTGAGGAATGCAAAGAATTCCCCTGTTCATCGTATGCTCATCCATTCCCCTATCAGTAACCTGTCACGTTATCATGTTTGTTATAGTAAATACACGTATTTCGAAAAGAACCTAATATGGACCACACACAGTCGGGAATAAACTGCAGCGTTACCTAATGGCAGCTGGTTGATAATATTCAGGGGGCCCGACTGTGTTCTTGCCACTTGGTTCGTCGTTGAGCATTTATCTTGAATCTTCTTTCTCGCGTAGTTTTGCAACCGGTCACCCATCACTCTGATCGTTTTAGAGAGCCAAGGATCCGACCGGTTTAGGCGTCGATAAGGAAATCGAGTACAAATTGCGTGGCTCTCTACCTTCTTATCTATTCTGGACCTCTTTAGAAACTGTAAATGACAAACTGCAAAGCTACATGACATGGCTGACCTAAATTGAGGTTATACTCGTGTCTGGACCAACATGGCTGGGATTAAATGATCTGGTTGGTTAAGTTTAGATGAAAACTGGACGAAAATTATGCATTCATGTAATCATTGTGACTGGATTAACGCTTGCGATTCCCTTATCAACTAAAGATTAGTCCAGAGCCGTGCCCTTGTTTACTAGAAATCTATTTTAACGCGAGTATATGTGAAGATATTACGTCCGCGGCCTGGTTTCCGAATAAATAAACAGGGTCGCGTTATCGACGATGAAAACGAAACCCCATCTTCTAGTTTTTGGTTAAAAATCATCGAGTATCTTGAACTTATCTTATAAGGTAGTAAAACAAGTTATTGTACTTGGAACAAATATACTCATTGTATAATTGTGACAGTTACATCTCTATACCTTAATTTCTTGTAATTAGAGGATTCAAAAGAAGTTAAACTACGATCTCGGCTAATCAGAACACCGTTTAAGCGCTGCAAAATTAAACGTGTCAGCTTTCCATGGAGCGTTATCGTGGAGTCTTTATTGGCCCGATAAATTTGCACGCATAATCGTGAATACGACTATTAAAGGCACCACATGAATGTAGAACAACAGTCGAAAGATTCATTGACTATGAATGTGCACCTACAACCCTCATATACTTTTTACAACTCTTTTGTACAAGAAAAGCTTCCTGACCTTCTCAAATTCATAGTTATCTATAATACTTGAAAAATATATGTATATAAAACATGAAATTTTCTCAATACGAAAAGTGATAGATTTTCATAATACCTAAAATGATAGATAAGATCCAATGTGAGATCAGAAAGATTTTGAAGATGCACTCAGGAAGGTTCTCAAACAGATGTTTCCATATGTGCACATTTAGATACTATTCAAAATCTTTTTTATAAGAAAACGGAAGAATGAAAACTCGTAGAATCATTTATGGGATCCACGAAAACGCTGTTGTTGTCCGATATATCAACTCAACGGTGGAGCAACCAACATTCCCGGATTAGTAACTATAATTCTTGTTGAAAGCACCTCGAACGACTCTCATCTTGATTTCGAAAACACAGGAAAAGTCATCAACCGCTGTCTTGTTGTTCCTGTAAAAATTCCCGACCGCCAGCCACGAAGAGGATCGTCCGCGTCATCAACGAGACTGATTAATCGTTTTATCTGAGCGAACAGAATAAACCTGAAGATTTTTGCGCCGCATTTACAATCAAATTGCGTGCACACGCACATAACTCACCAGAGATATTGATACCGGTCTTCTTAGATTTCAACAGGGCACCGTCTATCATCAGCGATTAGCGAATCAGAAAAATCTGGTAACACGAAACCACGAGTGTAACCGTTTCCTTTTTCATCGAGCTTTATCTGCTCCTTTAAACCTTTCTGACATCTCCAGCTTTCGTTTCCAATGGAAATTGCCCGTGATTCTTCTGAACCGACTTTCTCGAACGCTTCGTATAGGTTATGTAAACGATATAATAATCCTACTTCGATTTTTCGTTGAATTTATTATGCTCCCGTAAACAAACAGTCTATCTACTGCATGCATTTCCTACCTCACTGAATGATTAATGGATGCGTTAACGACCAATGTATAACTGGACGAATCCATCAGCGACACAGCACAACAAGGTACGTGTATACACCATGTATATGGAAACAATGCAGTTTGCCGATTGTAACTGATAAATCATCCAAATACGCTCTCTCTCTTTCTGTCTCTCTGTCTCTAGGTATACGTTGTTTAAATGTATATACGTAGGAATATTTCCATCAGTAGTAATTTCAAATCTGAAACTGTCGAGAATGGGCCACTGACAGGTCTCGAAGAAACGTAATCGAGACAGAGAATGTAACTAAACGATGCGTGGAGAGATCAGGACGCAGCCTCCGTCGGTATATCATCCTCCGTTGGCTCTCCCTTCTCTTTCCACTTTCTTTCCTTGTTCTACTTATTCGTTGTTTCTCCCTAATATCTCTGTCTTCTTTCAAATTACACTCAGTCGGTCGTTTCACCTCTCTTCGTCTCTTGCCCCACTCCTTTCATCGCGCGGAGTCACGCGACACTCAAGCGGCGTTTTGTATTATTAGAACGCGGTTTTCGGATACCGTGAACACAGAGGAATCATTGGTGCCGGGATCCTGATGACGTCAAGCAAGTTTTTCAACGTCAGTCAACGCGTTTTTAGAAGCATGCCCGAATAGTAACGGTTTTTCGTTGATCATGGTTAGGTTAGAAGTGAATGTGAGACACTTACCTTGATGTAGAGGTGGAAGGGGTGACGGTGGAGATACTTGAAAAGGCTCCTGCTTGATTTTCAATGAATGAGAGGACTCCTGCATCCCGCCCAATCCAGCGACTCCCAAACTTCCATTACCCTGCTGCAGTTCCTGAAATAATTAAGAGAATTTCTTGCTCTGAATGTATGTATATATATATTTTTAACACAAGCATTAGTAATGTTTTGTAGAATATGATCATTTGTCAATATATACGATATAATTCGAACAAAGAATGATCTTGAATCAAACAACCGCCATTGTATACCTGTAGATGAACAGTACCATGATGAACAAGTGTGATGAAAGGTGAACGAACCGAAGGATCGTGCACGTGAACGATGTGTCGCATCCATGAGAGCGGGCCAAAGAGACTTCTGGCTCGTAGCTGGCAATGTTTGAAGTGCCGTCGCCGGAAGCTTACAAACACCGACCCGGTGTTGTGACATCGTATTATGCCAAGCGAAACTTACGATCTCGCTAGATCGTTAATTTGCGATCCGGCTTTACGACGTCTAGTTTGTACCGAACCACGAATGTACTTGGCGAAAATTCATAAAACAACCAGTCTACCAATACCTCGGGGAACTACCACGGAATCTCTTATTTCTTCTTTCTCAAGTAGGTTATTAAAATGATCAATTATCTGTATAATTACGAATGTAATTTACAGGGAAATGGCACGAAAGAACTACTTCTATCATTTTCATAAAAGAAGACCATCCTTTTCCTCCTCTCAGAATAAAAAACAGGTAAGGATATGAAATTCAGTCTCGTCGTGTCTACCTGACCAGACAAAGAGGCGTGTCGTTGACCTAGGGATTAAAACTGATTGAATTTACACAACCTGCTCGTCTCTGAGCTCACAACTATTCCTATGGTGGCGCTAAACCTGTCAAGAGTGGTTTGCAAACGTGGCAGAATATACAGACACCGTGTGGGATACCGCAGAAGTGCATCAGCGGTTGACACTGAGAAACGTCCTCCAGAAATCCGTCGAGCTGGCTAGTCGAGACACGTGGCCACCTCGTTAATTCGTTAGACAGCCATTAAAGCTCCTTGCCCTGTGTCGCCATCGGTGAACGCTTTGAACAAGTGGAAAAAGGGGAATCAACACAGCCAGCCGATGGATTCTTCAAAGGGTAGTGGTTTTGTGCTACTTAGTTGGATTAATACCGATGTATTTGCTGGAAGAAATATGTGGAGAGCTTGCAAAGACACCGATAGATGAAAGAAATAATACATCCTACATTAAGAGTATTAATTGTTGACTGTGTTAACAAGGTCATAGTTTCTTTACATTTTTAGGTTTAAGAACTGGTAATGGTAGTTTCAACTTTGTAAAATATTTAAACTAGTTAAAAGCTGAGGAGTAAAAGCTTACTGCTAAATTATATGTTTCTAAACAAACAAATGAAAGTTGTGTACTAGTGCTGATGTTCATTCATTCAAGACTAAAGATAGATACTATGAAGGTACTATAAGTTACCTCTTGTAGATCAATTTTGAACAATTCATAACAACCAAATGAAAGCTTTGTAATGAAATTATATTATTGAAAACTAACTTGAATCCATAAATACTATACTACACTTGATTATATCTCAAGCTTACTTGATAAATTTATAATAACCTAATTTTACAAGCAATAGTTCTAATAATTCAAAGTGAAAAATCAACATTAAATTCGCACATCTTGCAATCAAAGAGTCTAAATAGATGCTGAAAGATTGGAAAAATGCCTAAAAATTTAATCCTTTTAACAAATGCACCGATATTCAACAATGGAAATCAGGCTGTGGAAGAGAAGAGATCAACATAGGTCGACGACGTGAGAGGCAGCTTCTTTTATCAGCGGCTTGATAAAGGCTTCTCTGCTTTTCTTCCGACTTATCAGCCATTCGTTTATTTTGCATAACTAATTCGCGTGTCTGTCCCAGAATAATCACCGCATAACTACCTAATAATCGTATTCTGACTTCGATATTGCTTTAATTTAAATCGGCACAGAGTACGCTTGTACGAGTGGCCTGATTTAACCTGTGAGCTATAGTAAGAAGAGCTACTATCGATTTCTCGTGCTGGCTTTGTAAATCTAAACTACGTGCGATCGATCCATAGACTGAATCAAATATAAGTTCATTCATGGAAGAAGACTATTTAATAATCTCAATGTGCATGTTCAAATGAATAGTTCTGGTTCTTGGAAAAATTGTTTGAACTTGAATGAAACAGGCAGAAGGGAAACGATTACTTGGACGTGGTAAGGGGAACGGTTG